CTTGCAGGTAAAAATTGAGGCTGAGGACAGAGCTGTGTGTTCACCACCCTGACTGCCCGTGAGGAACTCCTGGGAGCTTTAAAAAAACAAAACAAAACAAAAACCTGGCAGGGCACCTGGGTGGCTCAATTAGTTAAGTGTCCAACTTCGGCTCAGGTCATGACCTCAAGGTCCGTGGGTTCGAGTTCTGCGTCGGGCTCTATGCTGACAGCTCGGAGCCTGGAGCTTGCTTTGGATGCTGTGTCTCCCTTCCTCTGCCCCTCCCCTGCTTGCACTGTGTCTCTCTGTCTCTCTCTCTCTCAAAAATAAATTTAAAAATGTTTAAAAAATTTTTTTAATAAAAAAAAAAAAGCCTGGCAACACCCCAGACCAAGGATATCATAGTCTCTGGGCTGGGGCAGGGGTCGGGACATGCTCTGCCCACCCCCCACCCCAGCCTCTGCTTTCCTCTCTATAAAATGAGGAGTCTAGAAAAGATCCTCAGCCAAGAGGTCCCGGGCACGAGGCCAGGCCAGTGGACCCTGGCCTTCACTCCTGCCTTGACCAGGCTCCTTCTGCTATTATCTGTCTTCCATATTGGATTTCCAGGCAGAGGTTTATTTGAGAAAAGGGTCCCACAGCTGTAATGAGGTCTGCAAAGCCCTGGCCTGGGCCTTCCCTTTCGGCTGCCGGGGGACAAGCTGGGGCCTGAGCCAGCAGGATCACAGACCTCCTGGGGCTGCCGAAGAGCTCCCCAAGAGATCCCAAGGCAGCGAAAAGTAGGCCGGAAACCCCAGCACTGCCCCCGGCTGCACATGCCCATCACGCAGCACTCTGAACAGGCACCCAGGACCGCAACTCCAGGCAGCTCAGCTGGCTCAGGGACAGAAGCCACTCAGCAAGCCCCCATCCCCTCGTGATGACCCACCAGAATCCAGGGCCCTCTGGGAGCAGGGCCACGGGCCTCATCAGAACCAGACAAATACCTGGGGCAGGTGCACGGACAAGGAAAGAAGCACCTGGCGGGATTCCCAGCACATCAGAACCCACACACGAGGGGTTTTCTCTGAAAAACGACTGGAGCCCTACATACAGGTGCTGACAAGGAACGGCAGCCATGGAGCTCTCTGCAGGGTGTTCCAAGGCAGAGCCACCGGCGGCTGTCACAGCAAGCAGCTTCCTCCCCCAAGCCCAGTTCCCACGGGCATCAGCCAGGCCGTGGAACGAGGCCGGCATTATCGTCGTCATTAACGGTCAGCACAACAGTACCAGGCAGGTGGATGCACTTTCCTCCTGGCCGCCCCGTGAGGCACACGCTAGCCTATTCCCATTTTACAGGTGAGGAAACTGAGGATCAGAGAGGTTTAGAGACTTGCCCAAATTCACACAGCAAGACTGCAACCTGGACTCAAATCCAGATCTGAATCTGACCCAGGTCCTACTCTCTGTGTAGACCCTCTGCCTCCTGGAGCCTCACAGAGCCAGGGCAGACACTGGGCATTGTGACCGTTCTTCCCCTGGACTCCGTGTGAGAGGAGCTCCGCCAGGGGAGAAAGGAAGTTGTCTTTGCGTTGGCAAAGCCACTGGCCTCTGCCTAGCATCACCCTGCCCTGCTCCTCTTCCCGGACCACCCGCTCCCACTCACCCCATTTCACAGCGAGCCGTGTCCCTCTGAGAGCCCTGGGCACTGGCTCCAACCCCAGGGCTATGGATTCCCTGCCTCTGGAACCTGGCCCACCAGCAGCCACCAGAGAGAGCCGGGCTGTGCCCTGTACCCGACACACCACCTCACGGCCGGGTCTGCTCCTGCTGAGACCACGGGGCAGTGGGTGTGAAATCCATCAGTCCGCAGGCCCAGCTGGCAAGTCAGTTTATTTTAGACTGTCAGCCCCTATCCTGCCAGACAGATGTGCTCAGGGTGGGCTCTACCCTCAGTCATTCTGTGGACCCACCCCAATGGCAGGGACAACAGAGTTCCAGGGCTGGCCATCCAGGTGGCTGGTCGTCGGTGGGCATCCACTGTCCGGGTCATGTGGGCCCTTCAGTCCTGCCCCCTGTGCCCCCACAGCCTGGCCTGCAGCCCCTGAGGCCGAGAAGTCCTATGAGAAGAATCAGAAGCACCCCTCCAGGGGGGGTGGGGTATCCAGCCCAGCATGTAGCCTCCATATCCTCCGCAAATCTCCACTACCTGCAGCTGGGGGTGGGGGAGGGCCCTCAGAGGCCCAGCCCTCCCTCCCTTGAAGAAACGCTTTGGTGCACTTGGACTTCAGGAAAACAGAAGCAAATCTCTAGGTCGTCCGCTCCCCAGGGTGCACCGTAGGGAAGGGAGGAGGGGAGGCAGAGGAAGAGCACAGAGCTCCCAGTGGGAGTAGGGGTCTCATGGGGCAGCCTGGCCCTCCCTCCTCCGTCCTCCCTCCTCCCCCCCCCATGTGTATCACTTCACCCCTAGAGCCAGCCTCCCAGCAGAGAGGGGGCTATGCTCTGGGAGGGCCCAGGTCCCACCCCTCCCAGGCCCTGCCCCTGCACCCCGTGACCTCTGACCGCCCCCCTGCCCCTCTCTGTCCACAGTCCACGGCATCAAGTGGACCTGCAGCAACGGAAACAGCAGCTCAGGCTTCTCCGTGGAGCAGCTGGTGCAGCAGATTCTCGACAGTCACCAGACCAAGCCGCAGCCTCGGACCCACAACTGCCTCTGCACCGGCAGCTTGGGTGAGCGGGGCTCCCAGGGGCAGGGGGGCAGGGGGAGCAGGGGGGGGCAGCTGGGGCAACTGGGCAGGGGGGGCTCTGCAGGCAGAGGGTGAGGCTCTCCTCCTCAGGGGTGGCCTGGATGTCCAGTGGGTGGGGCGGGGTCAGCCCGGAGCCAGGGGACAGTGCAGGACGGCACCCAGGACTGACTCACCATCGTCCTGCCCACTTGGGGCAGGAGAGAGCAGTTTCCAGAGAGGCAGGTCCCTCTAGGAATGGGGGCAGCAGAGTTGGGGAGTGCAAGGCTTTGAGGCTCCAGGCCTCATGGACACACAGCAGGTACCCTCCGGGCCCCACCATCTTGGGTATCGTCGTCAGGAAGCCCAGGGGCCCGGGCACAGGGCTGAGACAGGCTTTTCCGGGAGGTCAGCCCTGAGTCAATGGGACCACTCGAGCTGAACCTCTTTCCTTAACCTCTGTCCCCTCCAAGGATATAAAGCGTCCCGCACTCCCTGTCCTAATGTGCCTGTTTTTCTGATAATGATATTTGCTCTTAGGAATGTGCATTCTCCATTTCCTTCTCTGCCTTAATTAGATATTTCCATTAGAGGGTCATGTCACTTCCCTGAGAAGTCTTTGCGCACTTAGGAATAATGGTGGTGAGGCTGTAATAGGCGCAGGGAAGAAGTCACCCTTTTATCAAAAGCGAGGTGACCCTTATCAGCTGGAATGAAAATAATGGCAGAGGGGAGAGAAGAGAGAAGAGCCGACCTGGCCACTGCGTGCAGAGCCCTGGGGAGACTGGCCAGAGTCCAGAGACCCTCGGCCTAGAGCTTCTCCCTCTCTGCCACTGAGCTGGGGTGGGGG